GCACATCACTCGACTCAATTGCGACTGCATACGAGAGGGCTGTGAAGGAGGGCACCGATGTCAAGGCTATCTGCGTCATCAACCCGGGTAACCCCACTGGCGCGTCGCTGCCCGCCGAAGACATCAAGGCTGTGCTCAAGTTCGCCGCCGAGAAGGGTCTCGTCGTCATCGCCGACGAGGTCTACCAGACCAACGTCTTCATTGGCGAGTTCATCTCCTTCAAGAAGGCTCTACGCGACCTGCAAAAGGAGTCACCCGGCCAGTACGACCACCTCGAGTTGGCTTCTCTGCACTCAATTTCCAAGGGCATGGTCGGCGAGTGTGGTCACCGAGGTGGCTACTTTGAGCTTATCGGCTTTGACCCGGAGGTCGCGCAGGAGGTCTACAAGTTCATCTCTATCCAACTGTGCCCGCCAGTCCTGGGCCAGTGTATCGTGGAGATGATGGTCAACCCACCAAAGGAGGGCGAGCCAAGCTACGAGCTCTACAATGAGGAGTACGACGGCATCTTCCACGGATTGAAGAAGCGCGCGTACGCTTTGTATGAGGCGTTCAAGCAGATGGAGGGTGTCGAGTGCAACGAGCCACAGGTACATATTCCACGCCAACTACACATCGCATAGCTAACCCAAACATTAGGGCTCCATGTACCTCTTCCCCACCATCCACCTCCCAGAAAAGGCCGTCCAACAAGCCAAGAAGGAAGGTCGCGCGCCCGACGAGTTCTACTGCTTCCGCATGCTCGACGCCACAGGTGTCTGTGTTGTTGCTGGTACAGGCTTCGGACAGAAGGAAGGCACGCTGCATTTCAGGACGACCTTCCTTGCCCCTGGAACCGACTGGACAGGGCGCATTGTTAAGTTCCACGAGGAGTTCATGAAGGAGTTTAAGTAGACGTGTTGGCCGATAACAGGTTGGATGCGTAGACATGGTTGGAGCGTGAGATACGCTACGTATGACATAGATCTCATGAACAACATAACTTGTTTTACTATCATTTCCCAGTCTATTACTATACTTTGACCTGTGTAATTGCCGAAGTACGTAGTAATGGTGGGGGCGGGGTAAAGAGGATTGATATATCCGAAGACGATCGCGATATCGCAACTGCCGTGCATTGTACCTGAATGGACCCTTGTCTTGGCTTATGCCGAATGACATGGGATATATACATAGCTCCACGCCAGTGCGCAGCGTCATGTATATCGCGTGCGTTCTTGCTCTGTACGCTTCTGGTTATACCTGTCTACGTACCTAGGTATTCTTTTGTAATTATTGCGCAATTCCATAACAGCAGCTTCATCTCGCCTACCTAACATCATCATCGTCATTATCCAAGTCGTCATCACCATCAAATCAGCACCAACACCACAATGTACATCCAAAACCGATCTCCCTTTAACACACTCTCAACCCTCGAATCCCTCCCCGACGAACTCCTCGACCTAATCCTCTCCCACACACCCTCCAGAACCACCCTCCACACCCTCACCCTCGTCTCCCGACACCTAAACCGCCTCGCAACAGCCCACCTCTACACGCACATCACGCTCTACGGCGCTGACTTCAAGTACCTGCGTCCGCTCGCTCTCCTCTTCTGGACGTCTCCGGCACATCGCCAGCTAGTCCGTTCTTTTTCCGTGGTTCATGCGTATGGCGGGAATCTAGATCCGTGGCCGAAGTGTGAGGGGCTGGATTTGGATGCGGTGATTAGGGGGAATGTGGAGTGCTTTGTTAGGAGGAGTGATTGGGGGGTCTGGGTTGAGGAGGTGAGTCGTGTCTTTGCATGGAGAACGTGTGAGATGGTTTACTGACGGAGCGCGCTCATGTTCTAGGTTAGGGATGGGAGTGATTCGACGCGCATTGCGAGCCTGTTGTTGAGAAGCTGTCCGAACCTGAAGAGGATGCAGTTGCCAGGGTTTGAGTTGGTGGATCCGTGTGGGAGGTGAGAGTTTGGACTGCACCTGCATAGTTGATGCTATGCGTCGCAAATGCGTCGCTGTGGCGTTCAAGGCTGGGTAATGTACTGTGTACGTCAGCTGAAAACGCGCACCTCCTAGGAGGACAGAACGCCATACCGAATTGAGGTGTTCGGATAGTCTGGGACTGCAGAGACAGTCAGTATGTCTCGCGGACTATGCACCGAGGTACCCCGGGACGCAGCTCTACCTTCCAAGGTGCATGATCCACGCCTCCAGCCTTCAGATATGCAAGACCCGCACGAGAGATCACTTTGAAGCTGTTTAGACCGAAATATGGGTGTGGCTGGAGATCAGCAATGAGTTACCACTGGATTACACGCGGCATGAGCCCACCCGCTCTGGCTACACATCCGTAACGGTCGAAGTTGACAACAACAGAATTTCGTCAACAAGAAGGTGCCGCTAAGTTGCGCGTTCCTGCAGCGAAATATGTCAGGGTCGTCGCAGCGCATACGAGCTCATTCGCCCTCGCCGTTTGGGCGACATGTAAAGAGGGTCGGCCCTCTACCGCGGTACCACATCCTCATCATGCGCGAACACGACAACACATTCGTAATGCAACATACTATCAGAGATGCTTCGTTTATCTAGTGGGTAGTATGGATATGTTGGGCCTGTTGACGAACAACAGAGGTATATAACACGGTCAGCGCCACGGTGTGAGCTGAGCTGTGTACATATCTGGAAGCGACGTGGACTCGCTACCGCGATCGCAAGGTGGAAGAGTTATTTTTCTTTGTTGAGAGAATTTTTTACGAGACAGGGTCTCCTTTAACATATCGCTATTCTCACTCATCAGTCCTTTCCAGGAGCACCGGAGGAACGCTCACTCTTCTTCGAAGATGTCTTCATCTGACTCTACAATGGGTACGAAACCACCTACAACGGAGCGCAAAGTCGACTTCGTCATTGAGGAACAGGACTTGGGAAGTGTACCACTTACTCAGCCCCAAGTCTTCAACAATACCCTCTCTCGCCGCCTCAGTCGCCCTACGCTTCCTCCTTCCCTCCCCTCTCAGACACCCTCCGCCAAATGGAAGCGATCGGAGGGTTTTTGGCGATCATTCGTTGCCATATGCATCCCATTACTTCTCTCCGCTCTCGAGGGAAGTGTAACCAACACCGCCCTCCCTACTATCTCGGAGGCCTTGGATCTCGGCACCAAATTCTCCTGGGTTGCGACCGCGTTCCTCCTCGCAAGCACCATCTTCCAGCCTCTATACTCTCAGTTCGGAGATATGTGGGGAAGGAAAACTCCCATGATGACTGCTGTTGCCGTTTTCGCAGTGGGCTCAGCTATCTGCGGCGGCGCACAGAACGGCGCAGTGCTCATCGCTGGACGCATTGTCCAAGGTCTGGGAACCGGTGGAATTGATCTATTTGCCGAGATGATTCTCTGCGATATCGTGCCATTGAGAAAGAGAGGTCCGTATTTGGCGATCAAGCACGTTGCTTTCGCCGCTGGCACCACACTCGGTCCACTCCTGGGAGGAGTCTTCGCTGAACACGGTTGGCGATGGTGTTTCCTCATCAACATACCTGTCTGCGCCATCTCCCTGGTCGTCATCTGGCGCTGGCTAAATGTCGGTGGAAGTAACACTACCCCAGAAACAACCCTTCGACAAGAGTTGAAGAAAGTGGATTATGTAGGAAGCGGCATGCTCACGGGCTCCGTCCTGATGCTACTCGTCGCTCTCAGCACAGGCGGCGCACCGAAACCCTGGTCCCACGCCTCCGTCGTTATACCCATGGTCTTTGGCATCCTGGGTCTCATCGTCTTCGGTTTCTGGGAACGCTGCTCCTACTGCAAATACCCCATCATGCCACCACACGTCTTCTCGAACCGCACGACAAACATTGCTTTCGCATTGACAACCATGCACGGCTTCATAACTTACGGTTTCCAATTCTACCTCCCGCCTTTCTTTCAAGCAGTCAAGGGCTCCTCACCCACACAGTCAGGTCTAGAAGTCATGCCCACGACCCTCGTTATCGTCGTCCTCGCCGCAGTCGGCGGCCCCTTACTCAGCTACTGGGGCAAATACAAACCCATGCACATCATCGGCTTCGCTTTAACGACCCTCGGCTTAGGCCTCTGCACATTACTCAACGCCAAGTCCTCGATTGGCGTCTGGCTCTCCCTCCAGCTCATCACCGCAGCCGGTCTCGGCATAGTCATCAGCACAATGCTCCCCGCCGTGCAAGTCAAGCTCCCCGAATCCACAACCGGCGCAAGCGCAGGCTCCTGGGCCTTCCTCCGCGGCACGGGCTCTCTCTTTGGTGTCGCCATCCCCGGCGCTGTCTTCAACGTTCGTTTCGCTTCCCTACTTCCCACCATCTCCTCCGCAACTGCTCGCGCTAAGCTGGAAAATGGTCAGGCGTATCAACGCGCTACTGCATCTTTCATCGCCACGCAAGCCACTTCACCCACCATCAAAGCTGAGATCATCAACGCATTTACCCAGAGTCTCAAGTGCGTGTGGATTGTCTTCGCGGTTCTAGCGGGAATCGGGTTTTGTCTTACGTGGGGCGAGAAGGAGTACAAGATGCGGAAGGAACTCAATACGGTGTATGGGCTCAAGGCGAAGAAGACGGGGGGTAGTGCGTGTACGACGCCAGGGGTCGTGGACTCGGGGGTTGCTACACCGGTCAATGTAGATAGCAGTGATGAGGAGATGAACAAGGCGAATGGGGAGGATGACGGGTGTGCAGTTGAGATGGATGAGGATGATGTTGAGTTGGGGGATATTAGGAGGAGAAGTGGTGAGGTGTGATGAGGGTGCGGGCAGGGCAGATATCCTGCTTGTACTAATAGTGGAATTAAGAAAACCTCTCATTCAGACTTTGGGCTGGGCGTTTTGACTGGTACAAGTGGGCGTCGGTCATTCTATTCAATGCTCAAAGTAACCGACACCGAATGAAATTTACCTAGTATATATCTACTCTAAAACCCCCACGAACCTGTCTCCAGCTAAGTAACAATGTCCGACCTTCCTCTCCCCATTTCCGCTCCCACTATCACCGCCACGCCGCCCCTCCCCTCACGCTTTCCATCCTCCGCTTCGCCTCTACAAACCTCCTTCTTGCCTCTTCAAATACTCTCTGCGCCTCAATCACCTCCATCCTCCTCACATTAAACTCATGCGTCGCTCTCTGCGCCGCCTGGACACGAGGATTCATCCTCGGCGCTGGATACGTATCGCGCATGTATGACTCGAAGAGAGTGCCGTTTGCATTATCGTTGCTATTGAGTTTGTCGTTACCGTAGCTGTTGTCTGCAATGTTGAGAAGATCTGGTTGTGATGGCTGATACGTATTCGTTCGTATCGGACAAGGCGTATCTGGATCCCCGCCAAATTCCTGGGCTAAGCTATTGAATAGGGGAGTGAAAGAAGAAAATGGTGGAACGATGCCAGGAGATGTAGCTGTAGGCGTGGGGATCTCTGCAATGACAATCGGAGGGGGACGGGAGCGGCGTTGAGTCTGTGGTGTGGTAGTCGTCGAAGGAAGTGTTGCTGTTATCGTAGCTTGTGAATCCGGAGGCGTGGGTATATCGTCGAAGTTGATGCAGATTGGCGTGCTCGGCTCATTATTAACATTGCCATCTTCCGAGATAACGCATAGTTCTTCTTTCAACCGTTTCGCCAGTCTTTGTGCACCTTCGTCCTCCTCCTCCTCAGCAACGACATTCATCTCCTGTCTAATCGAGTACTTCCTCTTCCTCGTTTCATCTTCTTTGATCGGAACAGGCCCCTGCATCTCTCTCCCTCGGCTCATTCTCCGCAAACTCTCACACGCCTTCTTCACATCGCTGATTTCCAGAATAGCAAAAATCTTTTGCGTTTTTCCGCTGTAGGAGCCTTCGCGGATGCGCGCTTGGAAGTAGGTGTTTAGGAGGTTGTGCGCTCGGTCTCGTTGGCCGATTGTTAGGGTGGAGAGTTCGTGGATGGCTTGGATAATTGGGGCTGGGAGGCAGTTGATGGGTACGCCGGCGAGGAGGGAGGCGGGGAGGATGGGTTCTTCGGAGGTGGAGGTGGAGGGGTGGATGAACCAGTTTTGTTGGATGGCTTGGATGTGGTTTATGATATCCATGTGGCAAGCTGTACCGGTGGAATTGGGCTTGTTCGACAAGTTTGTCATTCCCATATTGCTTTTTGTGTGTTGGGCTCTTGGTTGATGGAAGATACTGGGATGCAGCTGTAGTTTGTGACACAATGCCACGATCATAAGATGTGCCTCGACGCTGGTTCATAGCTAGAAGTGCTACAACAAAGGGTCGGTGGCTACAAAGGTCACGGAGTGACTTCCGGCTTTGTCCGAGTTCAAGTCGAAAAGTTCGTGTCTGGTGGCGCTTTGTCCAGCGGCTCCAGAACAGTGTCGGAGACCGCACTTGACGTAGCGGAGGCTGTGCGGGAGGCAAAAATCCTAGTATAAAAGTTATGAGGCGTGTTTCAGGTTGAGGCCGAAACACCATCGGTGAATAGAGTCGTATCTCGAAGCGCTGGTGCTGTCGGCATAGACGGGACAAGAACGTACATCCGAGTGGGAGCCTAGAGTAGAACAGATGACGACCCAGTATAAAGGATACGCAATAGTCGAAGAGACCCAGAAGCATTAAGATAAACTCATTGTCGCCCTATTACCTATACTTCATGATGACTTCCAAACGTCAAACTCTCTAACGTAGCTTCCCGCCTACCGATTTCCCCTCAGTATATCCCCAATTTGACTAAACGAATTCCTCAAACCCCTTGCACCCCCTGCCCTCCCAGCCTTGGTACTCATCGTCTTCGGCGGATCGTGTTTATAGCCACAACCAGGATTCGTGCATCCATTTGGCGAGGTGATTTGCCACCTACAGAGAGTCTCTGACTGAAGCGGCTTTGCCTGTTTTTCGTTCCTGCGCGCTCCAGATGCATTGATGATATCCTCTAGGGATTGTTCGATGCGAATGGCAGGAGGCTGATGTTGAGGTTGATGTGGCATGGGTTGATCGTTCTTTGTTATCCTGTCGGCGAGTGAACGGTTTCCTCGAGGGCCAGTTGGTGGGGTATGGTAGCCAAATGGCGTTTGGTTATCGAAAGAGGTGGGTTGATCACCCTTCGTTACCCGCTCAGCAAGTGTCGGGTTGCGCACTGCTGGCGCTGGTGGTGGAGCGTGGCCGAAAGGATTCTTGCTGTTGCTAGAGAGAAAGCCAAAAGTCTGGTCTTGCTGCTTGAGTTGCAAGGTAGATCGCCGATTACCCTTCATCTGCCCACCGAATGGATTTGAACCACCCGGCAGGTGACTGGAAAAGGGGTTCGCTTGGGAGAAGTTGCTGGATTGTGGTGCAGGGACAGGATCGATGACCATTCGGTCAGCCCGTGGAAACTGTTTTGATTGGCCTTTTGATGCGACTTCTGTGAGGAAGAAAGGATCGTGGCTGTGTTTACATCTCCCACCGAATCTGCAACTACCGCTCAACCAGAACTTGCATGCGGTGTGGGGTAGCTTGCAACTCCTGCCTAACGTGCAGGTCCCGTTCTTGTATGCTGGGCAAGCCGACTTGAAGTTGCCGTCGCCGGCTGATATTCCGAAGGGATGTGAGGGAGCGCCGTTGGAGATATGAGTATTGAAGGGGTTTGACTGGCCCACACCGCGTGTAATTATCGTGGAAGGATCGAACGGACCAAAGCTAGGGTGTTGCTGCGAGCTATCAACCCGTCGAGCGTCCGTCATTTGGACGTCGTCGTCTTTCGGCGTAGGATGATGTGAAACTTGGCCGAATGAACCGAGCTGCCCACACGACCCACCATTCATAGAGCTTCCGAAGGAAGTGCCTAGAGAGCTCTTTGGCTGGTAAAAGCTACTGTTGGCAGTCTGATTGGTACTGAAAGAAGAGTTCATTGAAGTGCCAGTCTGTCCTGCAGTAACTGGAAGTGACGATGTCGTAGTGGCATCGGGCTTAGTTTGGGCTGCCTGCTTAGCAGACAGGTTGCTTAGGTCGGTTTTGAGTTTGTTGATCTCAGTTGTTTGTTGCGCAATCTGATCCTGGTAAGATTTCTCGCGTTGAGCCGTTGCTGCAGCTTCTGCGGTCTTCTTCGCACTCTCTTGAGCGCGTTCCTTTGCGGCAGTCATCTCGAGCGACTTGATATGTTGCTTCAGCTGCTCTCGCTCCGCTTGGCCTCGTTGGACTTCTTCAAGACGTTGCTTCTCTTGCTGACGGGCCTGCTCCTCCTTCTGCAGACGCAGGACTTCGGCCTTTTGCGCTCGGTATTCTGCCATCTGCTGTACGTCGGGGCCGATGCTGGTCCTCGCAATCTTGTCCTCGGTTGCTTTCTGCAACGTCTCCATCGTCTCGTCGATCGAACCGCTTGGGAAGCTAAAGCTCGTAGGTGGCGGGCTGAGCCAAGTTTCCATTTCTTCAATGTTGGTGACCAGATCGCCGAGGAGGTGGTGCGGCCGTGAGTACTTCATCAGGTCGCGGAGGACTCGAAGCTGGTACATTGGCAGCGGTGTGTAAGGCATGACGTTACGCCATTGCTCTCCTTTGGCGAGAATACAGTGTAGGCCGTTGAGACACTCGCGTACTTCGACGATAGATTGTTCGTTCACCTTGAAGCCATTTCCCATGACTCTGTCGATGACCATCATGTCATTTCGCACATTCTCGTAGTGCTTCGCAAAGTCCTTCACAAGCGCGCCCTTCTTTTTGTTCTTTTGAGGGATGAGAGTTGTCAGACGAGGGATGACATGACGAGCCGCGGCATTCTGCTTCATGGTTCCTTTCAACGCGGCGTGGCTGAACAACTCGACAAGATCCTCTCGCCAGTCGTTCGCAACGTCGGCAGTATACTGCGAGTAACCGGCGATGTGTAAGCGCGCCTTGTACGCGCTGAAGCACATCTCAGCCATGTACTTGGCGTTGTATTCCTTTTCGTTGGGGCGGCTCCTCTTTGGACGCGCTGCGATGGGAGCCGCATTGAGTTCAGCCTAGACATCTGCATTAGTCCAGAAGGAAAGGATCTGAAGATTACTGGCTTACCGATTCTGACTGGCTGTTCGCAGTAGCTCGCTTCCTCTTTCCACCAGCCAGAGGAAGTGCGTATGTTTGATTGCCAGGGCCGTTGGCGGCCGAGGAAGGAGCCATTGCGCTTGACGATTAGCAATATCTCGATGGAGTCGTTGTCGTTATCTTGTAGCTAGTAGGCGTGTTGTCGAAACAAAAGCAGGACTTGGAGAGCGAACTTGTTAAGTGGATGTCGGATCAAGTTCGTGTATCCAAGCAGGGGTTGAGTACGGGCTATTGTGCACGCCACTAATCCCGAAGCAGGAATCGAGTGAGTACTACGAATAGGTTGTGGTAGTGAAGGGGAAGAACGATAGCTACACGTGGTGGTTGGGTCCGTGCGAAGTGAATGTGTGTTGGACAAAGACGTGGTCTGAAAGACCAGCACAAGGGCGACTAGGAGTAGATGGTGAATGAGAGGCGTCACGATGGTTCATATTCGTTCTGGTTTGCGTATACAGTGGCTCTTCAGCTGGGGTCATTATAGGTGAAGAACGAGTATTTAGTGACGATCGGGCTACAGTTTAGTCCGCAGTCCTGAGGCTCAGGGAGAGACTTGGTAAGATGACATGGGTAGAAAAACATACTCGGTATAAGAGAAGAAGATCGAATGACTTGAGTCGAGCGAGACGGTGGAGGGAAACAAGACGAGACGACTGTTTTGATAGCAAACATCCAATGCGATAGCTTGCTCAGGTTTCCCCAAAGGCAACAAGCCAGATGTATGAATGCTGTATCGCATGGCGGCTGTGACGATGTTGTCGCGACTACTTCATATGGTTGATGTCGAAAATCGTTCCTTCCTGGGGATGTCTCATGCCGAATATTTGCTTCACCAAGGCCTGGCGTTCTTGAAGCCAGGGTGCACAGAGGTAGTGACAAGCAAGAAAACAATGTGAAATAGGCCATCTGTGATAAAAACAAAAAGAAATACGAACAAGGTTCAGGTATGTTGGTGGCTCGGCGATGGCCGCCCTAGCGCAAAGGTTGGGCAGGCACGGGATGCGGAGAGCAGATCGCGACGGGGAAGAGCGACCGAGGCAGGGTCGTCCCTCACCCCGTCGATGTTTGGCCTCTCCAACATTGGAAGGCATCGCGACCATGCGCAATCCCGTGGCGTGTGTGTCCTGCAGGTCCGCCAAACAGAAGTGCATCCACGAAGACCGGCCGCCGTGCGACAGGTGCAAGCAGTGCGGGCGCGCCGATCGGTGCGAGTTCCCAGGTGCGTCGAAGCTCCTGCCGTCCCCTATAGTGCGCGTGTTGACAGACGATAGCGCCAGGAACCAGCGCGATACACCGCAAGCCCAAGCGACCACGGCCCTCTGAAGATGCAGGAGACACGCCGACACCGAATAACTCGAGTACGACAAGTGTAGCGCCCCATCAGGGCCGCCATGACGCACATCTGCCGACCGGCACCCAGCCGGCACAGCACGCGTCGCCGAATGCGGCATCCGCGCTGCTCGACGGCCTCGATCCCTTTGAGCTGCTGACGGACGAGGTCAAGAACAGCTACCTCAGATGCAGCTACAAGTGGAGTTTCCACCACACGCCGACGCTGCTGCGCCGGATCCGCGACCGCACCCTCGAGCCATGGATGGCCTGGGCGATCCTGGCATTGGCCATCAGGTATGCGAGCACCCACAGCGCAGGCAGTCGCACATCTAACATGACGTAGATTCGTCAAGGAGCCACCCTCGCCCTTCCGGTCGCAGACTGAGGCCAGCAATGCCTATGCCGCCCACGCCCGCCAGATCCTGCAGCAGGACCTCGAGACGCCCTCGATCAGCCGCGTCCAAGCCCTGTTGATGCTGACGGGCCACGACTGGGGCGCCGGCAATGGCAGGCGGGCGTGGATATACCTGGGCATGGCGATACGGCTCGTCGAAGTCATGGACCTGACGCGCGAGACCGGCATACCGCGAAACCGCGTGCCGACGCGCGAGGAGTTCATCGAGGCTGAAGTGCGCCGACGGACTGCCTGGACCTGCTTCCTCATGGACTCGCTGCTCAGTGGCGGCAAGGGGCGCAAGCGATCGTTGACGGCCGCCGACATGAAGATTCAGCTGCCCTGTGAGCGCGAGGACTTCGTCTTCGGGGAGCCTGTATGCACACCGCAGCTAGACAACACACAGCGCATGCCGCCAGTAGCCCTGCCAGTAGGAGAGATTGGCATCATCGGATATAGTATGCGCGCTGCCAACATCTGGGGCAAGGTCGCGCGCTGGGCGTGCTCTGAAGACCTCAAGAGCGAACTGCCATGGGCCTCTTCGTCGCAGTTCCAGCAGCTCATATACGAACTCGAAGGCTGGAAGGCCTCGCTCCCGCAGCGCCTACAGTACGACCTCTTCACGCTCCACAGCCACAATGCCGTCGAGCAAGGCCAAGCGTATTGCTACATGCACTGCATACACTTTATGAGCTACATGTTCCTGCATCGCGCCTACCTGCCCGTTCTTGGACCGCAACAGAGCGGGGCGAACCCCGAAGAGACGCCCAACTCCTACGACGAACACCGTGACATGTGGAAGAAGTGGGAGAAGACTTCACGCAAGGAGCTGTTCAAAGACTCCGTCATGGTCCTAGACATGCTTGAGGAGATGCGCACTTTCGGCGTGTACTTTCTCAGAGGCCTAGTGCCGTGGATCGGCTTCACCATCTACACTGCAGTCGGCGCAATGTTGTACAGTTTCAACTTCCCGAGTGGTGATGACGATCCTCGCTGGCGGGAGAAGGCGCGCAAGAGCGTCATCCAGGGCTGCAACTTCCTGAAGGAGATGAAGACGCAATGGCCCATGGCAGAAACTTGGGTGAGTAATTCACAACGTTTAGATGACGCACACTAACAGCCTCAGTATGATACCATCAGGCGCATGCAGGCGTACTACCGCTCCATACTTGGCCAGGACGGCCCGGCATCACCCGAAGAACGACGAGCCTTGCGACATGCCATGATCGACTACGGCGCGTTGCAGCCCTCGCCTGTACAAAAGCCAGCTGATGCTCGAGACATCGCTTCCAGCAGGTCCCCTTCACAACAGCACAACGACCAGCGCAAACCCATGATCGCCAACCTTACCAACCCACCCGTTAGAAGCCCCTTACCCGCTACAAGCCCCATGCCTGCCGCAGCGCCCACACCCAACAGCTACTCATCAAACTTCTCGTGGAACACGCCTCCAGCGGTGCCCCCGTTGGAAGCCGACGAAACCTTCAACCTCGACTCGTTCGAATCATTCGCCCTGACGAATGAAGAGTTAGAGGCTATGATGATCAATGCGACACAGGAATTCTGGGCTAGCTTCCCGGGCGAAGTGGGTGTGGGATATTAGGAAAACGTGGTTCGGATTGCTACGATCTGGCGTTAATGGAAGGGACAAAACGGGCGATCTCGTATGTTACATGTAATAATAGTAATTATCTTCCAAGCAAGCGTCGTCGGCAGCTTCCTCTAATGTATACTTCAAACGTGCATCCGCGGTATACGCCCTGTGATGCAACCTGACTCCCACTTTCGACCACCGCGCAACTGCAAAGATCGCCACTTCACATTCAACCCCACCCAAAAGCTTGAAACAAAAGCTTACCACATATCGCGGATGCCCGCAACACGGGTACCTGAAGCCTCCCTCGTTTCGTCACACAGGTGCCGTAGGTGCAAGGCGAAGCCGGATAAGTCGGCACACAGGCGGCTTGTTTTGTGGAATGATGGGCACACACCGAACTGGGGTGGAAGGCGATCCACACGCTTAAGTCGACTACATCTCGCAACTTCCTAACGCATTCTTTTGCACTTCATTCCGTAAGTCGTTTTCCAGCTATTTTATCTTGTGCCATTGATGGTTTGAGTCGTTGCGGCAACCGGTGTCTTTCGGTCCTTCTCTGGTAGGGAAGAGGAGCTTGCCCGTTTGGACTAGCGCAATTTGATTGAAAGAGAAGGGACAAGGGATTTCGACTCTCGACGCGTTACGCTTCCGACGCAATATATTGGAGATGGCGACGCGTTCACATTCTCTTTGAGGACCCTCGATCTTAAGGAACGAAGGCACCGATCCGCCTATACCTACTGGACAGATGTGGATGATGGCGACTGCAGCGGAATCAATCTCGTCTCCGAATGCACCCGCGGCGTCCTGATCACCACGGAGGCATTGACAGGATCCTACACCAGCGGCGATATGATTTACATCGCCGCGCAACGCCGGATACCGCTGGGTTATCTGATGTACACATCCCAAGAGACCGGACTTGTATAGTCTGATGGCAAACACAGCCCCTCGGGATCATCTACGCAGATGGTGAGTCCGTCATGGAGGTACTTCCTCATAGCGGCTGGCGGGCCAAGAGTTTGCCTCTGTTGGTGAGCGGATCCCAGCTTACGCATGATACCACCGAGCCGGACTCTAGTTGAGTTGACCCGCAAGTCGCACACTGGTCCAAGGGATGCCATGCGAGGTCCCCTCTATCCGGTCTGCACTTCAAGATCAAATCTATCGTCTGGCCTAGAACAAGATTACAGCTCGCTTTGAGACCCCAACACAGGAAGTCGCAGTTCACTAACTTTGTACGGGGTTTTCCGCATCTCATACCACAAAGCGCAACACCCTCCTGATGCTATCCAACGGCATCAACATCACTCTTCGACACCACATGTTGTGATACAGACTCACTGTTAGTCAGAACTGCAACCTCGGCGTTTGCGAAGGATGGGCTCGAAAATCGCGCAGGAGCTACCTCCGCTAGACGATATTCCGGAGATGGCAGACCTCACGATGTCAGTCGCGTAGCCCATGGGCGTTAATTTTCGGCTTGCATGCTGGAAATGCCAAGCAGAGTCTGTTGCAAATTCCTAGGCCTGTCCGTCAGCTTTCGGACACTGTTCTGGAAGGTGAATTAACGCATGAGCAAATAACATGCGTGGGAGAGATGGCAGGACCCAGGGCCGTGGGAGGGCCTGGTTCAGCTGGTAGATGGATGTCGACGTCTGGCGACCGTTGATGTTACCCACGTTTTGGCGTGCGATGGTCCTATTGGCTGCCGTTCCTACACGAGACCACTCCACGCCCGAACGCTACGAGCTT